CATGAATATGTCCAATAGTCCGCCCCTTGCTCCAGTCGAAAAAAATTACATGCATGATCATCAACCCGATATTATAACTGACAATGTCAACATGTCTCATCAAACTACGGTACTAACGGCGTTTTCTTATTATTGCGAAAGCGCAATACAATTTTTTCAAGACCGCGCTTTTGATAATGGTATATCTTTGTGACTATAAGATAACTATAAGATCACATTGGCTGAAAAGTTGTCTCTAGAAACTCAAAAAGTATCCCTTCCGATGGGTATGGAGTAAGGTGATATTTTCGCGGTTCAGATAAGTGGAGCTGAAGGCATGTTTCTCCTGGATAAACTGGCCTTAGACTGGTTTGCTATTACAACAGCATTTGAAAGTCCACCAACCCTCGCTTAGAAATACTTGCTGGTTTACCTTTGAGAGATTCGCTATGTTTAAATAGATAGATTCGCATCATACAAAGTAATGGCTTAATTCTTTGTTTCCGCTTACTTTACCTCGACAAATACTCTGCATTGTCTGGACAAAGCTTCAACTGCTCTGACTGTTTACAACTAACTATATTCGCGAGTCTCCTGCGACCTAAGAGTTTGAAAGTGACTTCGGAGCCGTCTCAGGCCAACTGAGGCAGTGGTACTACCAGACGCTTGCCAAAACATATCTTTCCCTGCTCAAAGTCTCACAAACTGGTGCAATTCTCTAAATCCATTGGGTTGGATTAAAGTTGGAAAGACGTTGACAATTCTTTATCAATGAAGGTTTATGAATTGACCAAAGACAACGTCTATGAATTCAGGCAAGATCTTCGTGGCCGGATAAAACATCAGAATACTATCGACGTCTATGTCACGGAAAGGGAGAAGATCGAGGTGGACTCTATCCGAATATGCGATACCTGAAGATCAACTGAACTTGTTGCGCAGTGGAACAACGGTGTGGACGTGTTCATCGCAGTTGCATACAAGAGACGAGCTCAACCCGGCGGTATTGAGTTCGTAATGAAAGGGAAAGTCGTACCATCTGCGGTGAGCTATGATATTATATCATCTTGTACAGTAATTCCACTTCTACAGATGGGCATAATAAAAAAAACAACAAGAAAAATAATCCAAGCTTATGGCCTGATGTAGCAAGCTGAACGCGAGGAGATCAAATGATTCTACGATGAATGGGTAGGCGCAATGGAGAATAGGATTGCGTTCACGATTGCCGAAGAAGACTCTAAGGCAGTGCTGGAAAAGAGAATGAGGTAATCACCGTCAAATGCGAAAAAATGAAATAAACGTAGCGATCGCTTTGTGGCATTCGCCGAGAGAGACGACCACCTCTACGTCATAAACACCCTCTTTCAAAAGGCTCTAAAGCGACAGTGAACATGAAGACAGAAAGTCCTTGAACCAAATCGACAATGTACCGACTGGCATGAAACGAGTAATATATGATGTACTGGTCATATGTGAGATCATCATCTCTGCTAAATCAGACAACAGGCGTTTATATTCTAGAAGTATGATCGATGGCCCCGAAGAGGCCAGGGATCATTACCTTGGATATAACTACCGTTTGCTCCGGAGGGCTTAGCAGGTCAGCTTGCATTAATTAACCCTGAAATGATTGTTATCGAGGCGGACTGTGACCATTTTCAAAATGTCATCAAAACTCAAGACTATCGTCACAGCAGCAGGCCTGAGGCCTGACAACAAGGTAAACGCGAATCCATAGCATCAACTGTAAAATAATACAGCTAATGACGATAAAGGCCAAATTGAAGACCAGAAGAGAAATGGACAACGTGTACAATGCGATTTGCAAAGAGACAAGGAAGAAGTTTGGGGAGGACCGCAAACATTGCGAGAGAATACGATTATGAGAGGCTACGGTGCCCAGAAACGCCTGCAAGCGATGAAACGAGATATTCTTCTAGAAACAGCCTCTGAGGGCGCTGAAAGACAAGAAACAAGCAAATACCATTATTTGCACTAGAATAAACGGGAGCTGTACAAAGTTTTACAACAACTGGTATCTTCAAAAGTAAGTGTAAATCAAAAGTTGCCTCGGAAACCATTCCGGAAGTCACCTAGGGCGAATTTGAGTGGGAAATCAGAAACAAGAAAACTGGCTTATGTCGAGGCAGACACCTAAAAACAAGAGAAACAGACTTGGCCGAAGTTCGTGCCAAAAGTTTTACGGAATACATTGGCCAGAACAAGAGGAATAAAGCGTGGAAGACATCAGAAACGATTCTTCTCATGAAAGAACATCTCAAGAACTATCGACTAATAGCACCTCTGTTGGAAATCACACAGCGTCCACAGCCATCATTCTCAACGTTATTCATAAGGACTTTGAACAATTCACAAGTCGGGAACAGAGGAGAGGTTTGCACTGAGTTTTCCACCATCGACTTTATGCATATCAAAAATTCGGCATCTGACGGGCAAGTACAATGAATATTAAATATGGCTCTGTTTTACTTTCATCGACTACAAAATAGCGCTCCATAAAATAGTTTCGATAGCTCTGTTGAACGCTTAGCATTGGCATAGCATAAATTCTGCGTGCCTTAACCTGACCGAGGAGTTAAGGACCGTTTGTGCGACCTACATCGAGTTGTTCAGCGATCCATGTTCCGTTAGTATCCATCGACGAGGGAGTCAAGTAGGAGATACCATCTCACCACCGCTCCTCGCATTGGCCGTGAAGTTACTGTTCAACCTGGTAAACTGATGCGACGACATGGATATCGATAGGGAGCAATTTGCGGAGGGTTGCATCGTCTTCGCTAAAAAAGTGATGCAGCTCCAAGAGAAGATCCAGCAACTTCGAGAAAAGTCCCTCACCATCGGCTTAGAGGATAATTCAGACGACATGAACAGAGAGCGAGGACTGCCATAAGGGCATTATCTAGGCGAATGGTGGAAAACTCGGAGAGATCACTGCCTATGCGTACCATGACCCTGAGGTAGACTGCGTGAACTCGTCGGACTGGGAAATCAGCTGAAGGACGGAAGCGGCATGGGCAAGCTTTAACCACATTCAAACATCATTACTTGACAGTGGGCTGCCCCGTGCACACAGTAAAAGATGTGTTGGAGTGTTGGTTTGCCGTTAAACAGGAGAAGAATCAAGTAGGAGTCACGCAAAAAGCCGTGAAACGATTATGTGCAAGGTCTTCCTCAGGAATCACGTTCCGAGCGAACGTAATTTTGTCTTCAATGATGGCGAGAGAAGACAGACTGTCATGTGACTCGCCTGAGGAAAACTGGTGCACGTCAAAAATACAAACTGGGCTCCACTGGACCCCCGACGTTGAGTAGGCCGTCCAAGAACACGCTGAGATGATCTGATGGTCAGTCGCTTGGTCAGTGGCTGATGCAGGAAACGGACAATGGAGAATGTTGGAGAAGCATCGACTTGCATTCGTGGTGCACCCTTCAGAGACCGGTATCTGGTAGGAAACACGATGGTGGGCCGTTAATCCATTGACGTCGCAAACAAAAAGGTGCTGGTTAGGCAAACGCTCACTGTAATGATCTCAAGAAATATAAACATGAAACTGTGGCAAAAAATATAGTTGCTTATTTATAGTTCATGCGTATAATTTTTCAACCTTAGCAGGTGAAAGGACCAAAGTTTATTAAATGTTTTGACTTCTTTCAGAGCCTTGAATCTTAATTTAGCCTAGCGCAAAGTATCGCTCCATTCTCTTTGCATTAACCATCAAAAAACAGCAGCTGTTTGAACCTTGGTTTTTTGTGACCGTTCGAAAGACTTCGCGATGACTTCGTTGCTTCTTACGCAGGCGTACGGGTTTGGCGTTAAGTTTGGTTCTGTTGGTTTTTAGTTCACAGATTCGCGCTTTAATAAATGGACCATTTTTTCCTTCGAACCTCCGTTGCCAAATAATGCTTCAAGATTTCATGGATTTGTGTGACGTGGCAATTTTTTTTCCAGGCTATACAAGAATTTAATTTCGAGCCTAACCACTTTCTTGTGTTCGTTTTAGACTAACGTCTCTCGACCGAGAGTGACCTGAAATACGAAAGTCAGCCAACACGAAACAAACGACAAGTTTCTTCAACGTTTTGTTAAGGATGGGAATTTCCTGGTTTCCTTGGCATGACATGACACCTGATTTTAAGCTTTACTCGCTGCTTGACAACAAGCAACTAGATGATATGTTCCTGCCACGCAGTTGTAGCATCAGATGGCATGTTGACTGTGCAAATAACAGTTACAGCATCTTATTCCGGTGTGGTCATATCAGTAAGGGGGGCCAACATGGTCATGCCGTCTGATGCGAGCTCCTCCTACGGCCACAAGCCGCCATGACTCCCGTACCCCTACTGTCAAACATACGGCACACCCTGTTGTTGCTGCATTCATTCATTTATTGAAACAGCTTTCGTTCCCAGGTCCGTAATTCATCAAAGA